GATCTTTATTTATAAAATTTGTTGCATTAGAGAGAATGTCCTAGTGTCAGAAATCTTCAAGCACCTCAAAACCAAGCCAAAAAGACATTTACTTTCTATGTTAAGCGGGGGTTTGCAGTCTGGGAAAGCTGCACAGATGACAGGGACTAAGCCAACTGCCAAACAGGGCTGCATGGGTTCAGGCAGTTCTCAGGACATGAACCAGGAGGCAGCTTCCACATTTCATTCCTGCTCAGACTGGAGGGTGAGCTAGAAGCTCAGGGGCCCCTGGAAGGAGATAAACCTGACTCATGTTTGCTCTAGACAAAGCAGGGGTCAGATGGGGGCAGCTAGGCTAGGCAAGGTGGCTCACACCTGTAATCCCATGACTTTGGGGGGCTGAGGTGGGTGGATCACCTGAAGTTTGGAGTTCGAGACCAGCCTGACCAATATGGTGTAACCCTATCTCAAAAAAAAAAAAAAAAAAAAAAAAGACAACTGTGAATTCTTGATCAGAAAAAAATGTTAAAGCCAGGGGCAGTGGCTCTCGCCTGTAATTATAGCACTTTGGGGGGCCAAGGTGGCCAGATCACCTGAAGTCAGGAGTTTAAGACCAGTCTGACCAACATAGTGAAACCCCGTCTTTAAAAAAAAAAGAGAGAGAGAAAAGACAGGGTCTCTCTCTCTTGCCCAGGCTGGAGTGCAGTGGCACAATCATAGCTCTCTGCAGCCTCGATCTCCTGGGCTCAAGCAGCCCTCCCACCTCAGCCTGTGAAGTAGCTGGGACTGCAAGTGTACACCACTACACCCAGCTAATTAAAAAAAAATTTTATATAAAATGAGGTTTCAGGCCGGGTGCAGTGGCTCACACCTGTAGTTCCAGCACTTTGGGAGGCTGAGGCAGGTGAATCACTTGAGGTCAGGAGTTTGAGACCAGCCTGGCCAACATGGCAAAACACTGTCTCTACTAAAAATACAAAAATTAGCCTGGAATAGTGGCACATGTCTGTAGTCCCAGCTACTCAGGAGGCTGAGGCAGGAGAATCACTTGAACCTGGGAGGCAGAGGTTGCAGTGAGATGAGATCACACCACTGCACTCCAGCCCGGGTGACAGAGCCAGACTCTGACTCAAAACAAACAAAAAACGAAATGAGCCAGGCGCGGTGGCTCACGCCTGTAATCCCAGCACTTTGGGAGGCAAGGCGGGTGGATCATGAGGTCAACAGATCGAGACCATCCTGGTCAACATGGTGAAACCCCATCTCTACTAAAAATACAAAAAATTAGCTGGGCATGGTGGCGCATGCCTGTAATCCCAGCTACTCAGGAGGTTGAGGCAGGAGAATTGCCTGAACTCAGGAGGCGGAGGTCGCAGTGAGCCGAGATCGCGCCATTGCACTCCAGCCTGGGTAACAAGAGCGAAACTCCATCTCAAAAAAAAAACAACAACAAAAAAAACGAAATGAGGTTTCATTTTGTTGCCCAGGCTGGTCCTGAACTCCTGGCCTCAAGCCATCCTCCCACCTCAGCCTCCCAAAGCACTCAGATTACACACATAAACCCTTGTGCTCAGCCTTCAAGGATGCTTTAAATGTGCATCTGGTGATGTTCCCCAGCTTAAACCCACCAATGAGAGGAAGACCTTCCAGAACCCTCCACTGCCCCCTGGGACCTTGGCTACAAGGCCTCCTGGGCCAGGCACCTCTGGAAATCAGCTCCTTTATCTTCTACTGGGCAGGGCTTGGATTTGATGGAGAGGAAGGGTAGGGGAGCTACCAAGGGGGTTAAGCTAGAGGAGGGAGTTCAAATGGACTGCACTGCACAGCCCGCAGGCTGGCCATGAATGCAAAGCTTTAAATGGGATTAAGTGCAAGCTGAAAATATTCCAGACACATTTTTCACATTCTTGGCTGGTGAAATGTTTTATGCTGATGAGAGAAGGTGGAGCTGAATAGCTGAACACCAGAAGAGGTCAAGGCAGAGAAAACAAATCTGCCTTAAAGAGACAGATCTTGACTGGGCACTGTGGCTCATGGCTGTAATCTCAGCACTTTGGGAGGCTGATGCGGGTGGATCATCTGAGGTCGCGGGTTCGAGACCAGCCTTTTTTTAATAGAGACAAACTGTCTCTACTAAAAATACAAAATTAGTCAGGCCTGGTGGCACCTGCCTGTAATCCCAGCTACTTGGGAGGCCGAGGCAAGAGAATTGTTTGAATCTGGGAGGCAGAAGTTTAGGTGAGTTGAGATGGTGCCATTGCACTCCAGCCTGGGCAACAAGAGCGAAACCCTGTCTCAAAAAAGAAAGAAAAAAAGAGACTGATTTTTTCTTGAAAAAAATTTTTTTAACACAGAGTTTTACTCTTGTTGCCCAGGCTGGAGTCCAATGGCATGATCTCGGCTCACCACAACCCCTGCCTCCTGGGTTCAGGTGATTCTCCTGCCTCAGCCTCTGGAGTAGCTGGGATTACAGGCATGCACCACCACACACGGCTACTTTTTGTATTGTCAGTAGAGACAGGGTTTCATCATATTGACCAGACTGATCTCAAACTCCTGACCTTGTGATCCACCTGCCTCAGCCTCCCAAAGTGCTTGGATTACAGACATGAGCCACCACCAGCAGCCTACATTAATTGTTTCTTGGTTCTCCGTCCATCCCAAGAATGTCATCACCCCCAGGACACGAATATTTATAATTTCTTTGTTGTTTGCTGCTGCATTCCCAGTGCTTCAAACAAAACCTGTCCCACAGTAGATACTCAATAAATATTTGCTGAATTAATAAATGGGAAATCTACCTTAGGGAGCCTGGAGACCATTGGCCATCCTGGTTTCAGTTTTCTAGGTGAAATACAATAAGGATTTGGACTAGGGGAGGGATCCAGAGAAATAGATAGCTGTTGATAAGCTCACCTATCCACCTGTATGTCTCCCTGCCACAGCACATCCTCTATTGAGAGACGGAAGGATCTTCTTTTTTTTTTTTTTGAGATGGAGTCTTGCTCTGTTGCCCAGGCTAGACTGCAGTGGCTCCATCTTGGCTCACTGCAAACTTCGCCTCCTGGGTTCAAGCGATTCTCCTGCCTCAGCCTCCCAAGTAGCTGGGACTACAGGCGCCTGCCATCACACTCAGCAAATTTTTGTATTTTTAATAGAGACATGGTTTTACCATATCTGGGGCTGGTCTCAAACTCCTGACCTGGTGGTCCACTTGATTTGGCCTCTCAAAGTGCTGGGATTACAGGCATGAGCCACAGCGCACAGCCAGGATCTTGTTATTTATTTATTTATTTATTTATTTTTCTTTCTTCCTTTTTTTCTTGGAACTGCAGGCTGCTATGTCCAGGGAAGGCTCTTTTTTTTTTTTTTTTTGAGGGGGTTGGAGTCTCGCTCTGTCGCTCAGGCTGGAGTGCTGTGGCAAGATCTCGACTCACTGCAACCTCTGCCTTCCAGGTTCAAGTAATTCTTGTGCCTCAGCCTCTGAGTAACTGGGATGACAGGTGTGCACCACCATACCTGGCTAATCTTTGTATTTTTAGTAGAGACAGAGTTTCACCATGTTGGCCAAGCTTGTCCCAAACTCCTGACCTCAAGTGATCCACCTGCCTCAGGCCCCCAAAGTGTTGGGATTACAGGCCTGAGCCACCACGGCCAGACGGAAGGAACTTCTTCTTCTTCTTTTTTTTTTTTTATAAAGAAGGGGTTTCACCATGTTGGTCAGACAGTTCTTGAACTCCTGACCTCAGGTGATCCACCCGCCTTAGCCTTCCAAAGTGCTGGGAATACAGGTGTGAGCCACCGCACCTAGCCCAGAAGGATCTTCTTCTTCTTTTTCTTTTTTTTGAGATGGAGTTTCGCTCTTGTTACCCAGGCTGGAGTGCAATGGTGCGATCTCGGCTCACCGCAACCTCTGCCTCCTGGGTTCAGGCAATTCTCCTGCCTCAGCCTCCTGAGTACTTGGGATTACAGGCACACGCCACCATGCCCAGCTAATTTTTTGTACTTTTAGTAGAGACGGGGTTTCACCATGTTGACTAGGATGGTCTCAATCTCTTGACCTCGTGATCCACCCGCCTCGGCCTCCCAAAGTGCTGGGATTACAGGCTTGAACCACCGCGTCTGGCGGCCCAGAAGGATCTTCTTAACACATAAATTGAATATTGTCAATTTTTTTTTTTTTTTGCCTCTTCATAAATCCTCTATGGCTTCCCAGTGCACAGGATCAGAAAGACACAGATTTAAAGTCTTTTTTTTTTTTTTTTTTTTGGTCTCATAATAAATAGAGCTGCAGGGCCAGGCGTGGTGGCTCACGCCAAATTAATGCCGTGGGTTAATCATCACGATATCTTTTTATGTGAAGAAAAATTAGGCCGGGCGTGGTGGCTCCCGCCTGTAATCTCAGCACTTTGGGAAGCCTAGGCTGGCGGATCACCTGAGATCAGGAGGAGTTCAAGACCAGCCTGGCCAACATGGTGAAACCCTGTCTTTGAAAAAAAAAAAAAAAAGAAAAATTAATGTGTCAGGTGCCATCTTATTTTACATCTGCATAGAAAAAAGACAGGAATACAACAAAATGGTAGTAGTAATCACTCATTGGGAATTACTGGTGAGGTTTACTCTCCTCTTTGGGATCCTGCAGATTTTGCAAAGGTTCTATATTAAGTGCCCCACGTTTTGTTTTGTTTTCTCGCCATTGGAATTAACGTTGTTAATACAAACTACAATAGGTGTTCAGCATGTACTTCGTTTAAAAAAAAAAAAAAAGGATAAAAACTACAAGTCCCTGCAGACATCTCGCTGACGGCTTCTGAAGATCGGCCTTCCCCGAGTGCAATGATTTCTGGGATTCGTAGTCCAGTGACAAAATCAAGGAGGGACGCACACTACCGGCCTAGATGACAGAAGGGGGGAATCGCTATCATTCCAACCAATGGACAGTTCGAGCCGGGCCTGAATGGCGAGCGCATGGCCAATGGATAAGCCGTTTATCCTGAGTGACGCGGGTTGCAACCTACCAGAGACCCGTGGGGCGGTACGGCGCGCAGCGGCAGTAGTGCGAACCATGGGAGGCGGCTGGTGGTGGGCTCGGGCCGCCCGGCTGGCCCGTCTCCGCTTCCGGAGGTCGTTACTGCCGCCTCAGCGGCCCCGGAGCGGGGGTGCTCGGGGGTCCGTTGCTCCTGGCCACGGCCCCCGCGCCGGGGCTTCGCCGCCCCCGGTGTCCGAGCTGGACCGTGCAGACGCCTGGCTCCTCCGGAAGGCGCACGAGACAGGTCAGTTGCTGGGGTTGGGGGCGGTGTGGATGGGACGGGGTGGGGACTTCTGCAGGAAACGGGGCCCGGGTTCGGCTGCGGGAAGGGCTTCCGTGTGAGCGCAGGGAAGCGCAGGTGCCCGCAGAGAGGACGGGCTTGCGGGGAGGACGGAGACCCCGGGTAACCGGGCGCAGTAGAGATGGGAGGGGGTTGTCGGGTTGCTGGAGGCAGCCTCATAGAATCGCGCCTGCCGTGAAGAGAGGGGCTTCCAGGGAGAGCTTAGAGTCTGTGGAGTTGTATACAAGAAGGATCCGTTCTGATTGCAGGGGCCACCACTGTGCAGAGAGCGGGAGTGTGGATCCTCGCAGAAGAGGGGGAAGCTCTGGATTGGAGGAGGGGAAACCAATAGGGAAAAACCTCTCAGCTGATTGGAAGGGGAGGTGATCTAGGCTGCAGGGGGAGGGGCTTGTATCGGAGGCGAGGTCCCGAATGGAGCAGACTAGCTATCTTTTAAAAAAATGTTTCAAATTACAGTGCCTTGCTCTGTCACCTGGGCTGGAGTGCGGTGGTGCAACGGTAGCGCACTGCAGCCTTGAACTCGTGGGCTCAACCATCCTCCTGCCTCAGCCTCCTGCTTAGCTGAGCTAAGGAGCTACAGGCACACACCACTGCGCCCAACTATTTTAATTTTTTTTTTTTTTTTTTTTTTTTTGAGACGGAGTTTCTCTCTTGTTGCCCAGGCTGGAGTGCAGTGGCGCAATCTTGGCTCACTGCAACCTCTGCCTCCCAGGTTCAAGTGATTCTCCTGCTTCAGTCTCTTTGTTTTTATTTATTTTAATTTTTTTATTTTCCTGCTTCAGTCTCCTGAGTAGCTGGGATTACAGGCATGCACCACCACGCCCTGCTAATTTTGTATTTTTAGTAGAAACGGGGTTTCTCCATGTTAGGCTGGTCTTGAACTCGCGACCTCAGGTGATCTGCTTGCCTCGGGCTCCCAAAGTGCTGGGATTACAGGCGTGAGCCACCGCGCCTGGCTATTTTAATTTAGGTAGAGATGGGGTCTTGCTTTTTTGCCCAGGCTGGTCTCGAACTCTTGGTCTTAGACAGTCCTCCCGCCTTGGCCTCTCAACGTGCTGGGATTACAGGCATGAGCCACCTCACCTGGCCAGGACTGGGCATCTAGATATAGGATGTAGTGGGCTGTCCACACCAGGGACTTGAATGGAGATGGACGTGGATGGGATTGGTCCAGGCCATACTCGGTAGGAGATGGTGGCATTTGAAGGAAAGGCAAGGCGAGGCTAGGGAGCAGCTTGGGTTAGGAAACAGTTTGTCCCAGAGTTCTGAGAAAGAAGTGAGCTGACAGGCTGTGGGGGTACACGTAGAGGGAAGGGGTTGACCAAGATGGCTTTTTTTTTTTTTTGAGATGGAGTCTTGCTCTGTCACCAGTCTGGAGTGCAGTGGTGCAATCTCGGCTCGCTGCAACCTCTGCTTCCTGGTTTCAAGCGATTCTTCTGCCTCAGCTTCCCGAGTAGCTGGGACCAGAGGCACGTGCCACCATGTCCGGCTAATTTTTGTATTTTTAGTAGAGACGGGGTTTCACCATGTTGGCCAGGATGGTCTCGATCTCCTGACCTCGTGATCCGCCCACTTGGCCTCCCAAAGTGCTGGGATTACAGGCGTGAGCCACCGCGCCCAACCCCAAGATGGCTTCTAAGAGTCTGGAGGTTCAGCCACTTTGGTCCTAGATTTTTCCCCATATTCTGCAGGAACCATCATCTTGAATCCTTTTTATTTTGAGGCAGTGTCCTGCTCTGTCACCCAGGCTGGAGTTCAGTGGCAGGATCTCGCCTCACTGCAACATCTGCTTCCCGGGTTCAAGTGAGTCTCCTGCCTCAGCTTCCGGAGTAGCTGGGACTACAGGCGTGTGCCACCACACCCAACTAATTTGTGTATTTTTAGTAGAGACGGGGGATTTACTGTGTTGGCAGGCTGGTCTCAAACTCCTGACTCATGATCTGCCTGCCTTGGCCTCCCAAAGTGCTGGGATCTACGGGTGTGAGCCACTGCGCCCAGCCCTTGAATCCTTAGTGTTGCAGAGTTTGGGGGAGAAGGGCTCTAAAGTGGTGGCCAGAGAGGGTGTGGGGGATGTGGTTAGGTGAGGGGCTTACTGGAAGAGATGAGGATTTGGGGTGGGCTTGCCTTGTGGCTGGACGGGGTGGGGGAGCTGGAGGCCCCTTACTTCGAGCGGGTGAGGGGGATTGAGGTAGGGTTGCAGGTGATGCTAATCCCCCCATACCCCCTCCCTGCAGCCTTCCTCTCCTGGTTCCGAAATGGCCTCCTGGCATCGGGCATCGGGGTCATCTCCTTCATGCAGAGTGACATGGGTCGGGAAGCAGCCTATGGTGAGTGCAGACGCCCCCTCTTGCCCCCCCTCAGGGATCCAGGAATGCACAGCCCCTGCCCCCTGCCCTGGTTAGGATAGACTCTCTCCCCATCCTATCCCCAGTAGTAAGTACAGAACCCCCATTCTTCCCCTACCAGATGACACCCCTCCCATGGGCACTAGGCCCACAAGTGGGTGGCCCAGGACATGGCTATGGTCCCCTCCCCTCCGATCTGATTCTTAAAGGTGCAGTCCAGCCCCTACCACTATTCCTGTCTCCGCTCCAGACCATCCCCCACACCCCGATACCTTTTCCTCTCCCAACCCCGCGACCTTGGGCCTGGCACTACCCTGCCTCTCCCGCAGGCTTCTTCCTGCTGGGCGGCCTGTGCGTGGTGTGGGGCAGCGCCTCGTACACAGTGGGCCTGGCGGCGCTGCGAGGACCCATGCAGCTGACGCTGGGGGGCGCGGCCGCGGGCGTGGGCGCCGTGCTGGCCGCCAGCCTGCTCTGGGCGTGCGCCGTGGGCCTCTACATGGGGCAGCTGGAGCTGGACGTGGAGCTGGTACCCGAGGACGACGGGGCGGCCTCCGCGGAAGGCCCTGATGATGCGGGTCGGCCACCACCTGAGTGAGCCACACGGCCGCGGGGCTTGGCAGGCGCTGGACGGCGGCGCCCGAGGACTGGGACATTAAAACCTGACCTCCCCTCCTCCAGATGCCGAGTGCTGGTTCGTGTTCCTTGGGGAAGGGCAGCCAGGAGCGGACTAACCCGGGAGGCGGGAGAGGGAGACGAGGACCCGCGGGGAGCCAGAAACGGACAGAGGAGCTCACAGCCAGGAGCCCAAACCACTGCAAGGGGAGCCGGCCTTTAATTCTCAGGGCTACGGGCAGAGCAGGGCCGCCATCCCAGGGGGCCCCCAGCCGTCGCAGTGTCCAGCGCCGGCGGCTCTGCCAGTCCTCAGTCCCCCTTCCGCGGCAGCCTGGTGCCCGCAGACCCCGGATAGGGCAGGCCCAGGGGCGGGTAAAAGGCCTCTGGGAGCGCGGGGCCTGGGCCCAGCCTCTGCAGATGCGGGTACACCAGGCCCAGCTCCGCCGGGCCATAGCGGATGGCACCGGGTGTGCACAGACCCCGCACCACGGGCGGCAGGAAGCCCGCATGCAGGAGGGTGGGCGGGGGGTCCCCGGGAGGTGTCAGGCCCCACGGCCGCACTGGGTCCTGCTTCAGGGCCCCCGCCCGGATGACAGAGGTGAACTCGGGCCGGGGTGGGGCCGGGTGGCCGGAGGGATCCTCGTCACCACTGTCCTCTGAGCCTTCGGTTTCCCTCGGGACGGGCTCCACTTTGATGCGTTTGCCCTGCGTCTGGGGGGCCTCCTTCTCCAGCGAGGCAGTCTCCTTCCCTTCTGCTGGAGGCTCCGGCTCTGCAAGAGGAAGATGCTCAGGGCTTGTGTGTGTCCCCAGCCCCTCAGTCTTCCCATCTGTGGAATGGAGCTGTGCTCAGTGGGCCAGGCCTGTAGTTCTCAGCTGGGAGTGGTTTTTTTTTTTTTTTTTCTTTTTTTTGGGTATTGCTCTATTGCCCAGACTGGAGTGCAGTGACACGATCTCAGCTCACTGCAACCTCTGCCTCTGGGGTTCAAGCGATAAGTGATTCTCCTGCCTCAGCCTCCCAAGTAGCTGGGATTACAGGCATGTGCCACCACACCCAGTTAATTTTTCTATTTTTAGTAGAGATGTGTTATCAGCATGTTGGCCAGGCCAGTCTTGAACTCCTGACCTCAGGTGATCGACCCACCTTGGCCTCCCAAAGTGCTGGGATTATAGGCGTTAGCCCCATGCTGTCTAGCTGGGAGTGGTTCTGTCCCCAGGAGACACCTGGCAATATCTGGAAACATTTTGGGATGTCACAGCCCTGGGGAGGGTACTGTTGGCATCCAGAGGGGAGAGGCCGGGGTGCTGTGAAATAAACATCCCAGTGTCTCCCCAGCACAGAACCACCTGGCCCTAAAATGTCAGTAGAGCCGAGATCAAGAAACCCTGGTCTAGACCTGTACTGTTGAATGCAAGTTTCCAGGATAGAGCTTTCCGTGGTATTGGAAACATTCTATATCTGAACTGTCCCACGAAGCAGCCACTGGCCATATGTGGTCACTGTGCACATGAAATGTGGCAGGTGTGGGTGAGGACATGGATTTAAAGTTGTTTTTTTGCGGGGCTCATACCTGTAATCCCAGCACTTTAGGAGGCTGAGGAGAGTGATCACCTGAGGTGGGGAGTTTGAGACCAACCTGGCCAACATGGCAAACCCCGTCTCTACCAAAAATACTGAATGAGCCAGGTGTGGTGGCGGCTGCCTGTAATCCCAGCTACTCGGGAGGCTGAGGGGCAAGAGAATCACTTGAACCCAGGAGGTGGAAACGGCAGTGAGCCAAGATTTTGCCATTGCACTCCAGCCTGGGCAACAAGAGTTAAATTCCATCCCCCTCAAAAAAATAAAATTTTTTGAGACAAGGTCTCACCCTGTCACAGAGGCTGGAGTGCAGTGCAGCCATCACAGCTCATGCAGCCTCTAACTTGCAGGCTCAAGCAATCCTCCCCGCTCAGCCTCCCGAGTAGCTGGGACTGTGGGTATGCACCACCACACCTGGCTAATTTTAAAAATTTTTTGTTGAGACAGGGTGTCACTATGTTGCTCACACTGTTTTTTTTTTTTTTTTTGAGACAGAGTCTTGCTCTGTCGCCAGGCTAGAGTGCAGTGGCGTGATCTTGGCTCACTGGAACCTCTGTCTCCTGGGTTCAAGTGATTCTCCTGCCTCAGCCTCCTGAGTAGCTGGGACTACAGGCGTGCGCCACTATGCCCTAATTTTTGTATTTTTAGTAGAGAGGGGGTTTCACCATTTTGACCAGGATGGTTTTGATCTCTTGACCTCATGATCCGCCCGCCTCGGCCTCCCAAAGTGCTGGGATTACAGGCCTGAGCCACTGAGCCCGGCTACCCACACTGGTCTTGAACCCTTAGGATCAAGCAGTTCTCTTACCTTGGCCTCCCAAAGTTCTAGGGTTACAGGCATAAGCTACCACACTTGGCCTCAATTAAAATTTTCTTTTGTGGAGACAGAGTCTTGCTCTGTTGCCCAGGTTGGAGTGCAGTGGCGTGATCTCGGCTCACTGCAACCTCCACCTCCCGAGTTTAAGCTATTCTCCTGCCTCAGCCTCCTGAGTAGCTGGCATTACAGGCATCTGCCACCACACCTGGCTCATTTTTATATTTTCAGTTAAGATGGGGTTTCACCATGTTGGTCAGGCTGGTCTCAAATTCCCGACCTCGGGTGATCACCTGCTCCGCCTCCCAAAGTGCTGGGAATATAGGCATGAGCCACTGTGCCAGGCCCTAAATTTTGTATTCTTAGCAGAAACATGGTTTCATCATGTTGGCCAGGATGGTGTCAATCTCTTCACCTCGTGACTGCCCGCCTTGGCCTCCCAAAGTGCTGTGATTACAGGCGTGAGCCACAGCGCCCAGCCTGGATTTTAACGTACATATAAATGGCTGCCTGTGGCTAGTGGCTTCTGGACTGGACAGCCAGGACCCAAAGATTCCTTGGTGTTTCCCAGGGGCCGAGGGGGTAGGTGGGGCTCACCTGTGGGCTCTGGTCCCGGGCTGGATGCATCCTCACAGGTCATGCTGGCTGGAAGCTGGAAAGCATCCAAAGGAGTTTGGCCACCCTCAGCTTGGCTGGGGACAAGATGGATGTATGCAGTTAGGATCAGGCGTCCTTGGCCATCCAGGGATCCCTTCTGCCCCTCCCAACAAGCGTGGACACCCAGACAGGTAAATGTGGGAGCCTCACCGAGGCATTTACAGGGCTCGCCGCCAGATCCCTAAACTCCAGGTTGATGTCTCTAGCCCAGCTTGGCCCTCTAAGGCCAGACCTGTACAGCTGGCGGCCACCTGGATGTTGTCACCTGGGTGTCCCCTGGCGCCTCATGCCCATCTGATGTCTGCGTCTTCCTTTCAAACCTGCTGTTCCTCTCCGGAGCCCAAATCCAGACCCAGCAAAGCCAGAGCCCCGGGCAGATGATTATCTCCACCCCTATAGTGTCGGGCACTGCCCAGGGCTGGCCCCCCTTTGCCCTCATCCTCCAGTACCCATCTTGTCCCTCCATGCCTCCCTTCATGGCAGCGAGAGGGGTCTCTTTTCCATGTTCTTTTCTGAGAAAGGATCTCACTCTGTTGCCCAGGCTGGAGTGCAGTGGTGCAATTTCATCTCACTGCAGTCTCCGCCTCCTGGGTTCCTGCCTCAGCCTCCTGAGTAGCAGAGACTACAGGTACCCACCATCACACCTGGCTAATTTTTGTATTTTTAGTAGAGACGGGGTTTCACCATGTTGGCCAGGATGGTCTCGATCTCCTGACCTTGTGATCCGACTGCCTCGGCCTCCCACAGTGCTGGGATTACAGGCGTGAGCCACCGCGCCCGGCCACATTTCTCACTGCTTTCTACTCCAGCCTCAAGCACTACCTTTAGGGTTAGGCTGCTGCTCGGAGCCCTTCCTCTGCAACACCTGTTCCTGCTTCTGGCTTCCTGCCATGAGTTGCTCTGCTCTGCGGGCTTCCCCTAGTAAGAGCCTGCTATGGCTCCCCAGGACCCGAGAGTCAAGAGTCCATGGTTAGGCACGGTGGCTCACGCCTGTAATCCCAGCTCTGTGGGAGGCCGAAGTGGGTGGATCACTTGAGATCAGGAGTTCGAGACTAGCCTGGTCAACATGGTGAAACCCTGTCTCTACTAAAAATGCAAAAATCAGCAGGGTGTGGTGGCACATGCCTGTAGTCCCAGCTAACTCAGGAGACTGAGGCAGGAGAATCACTTGAGCCCGGCAGATGAAGGTTGCAGTGAGCCAAGGTTGCGCCACTGTACTCCAGCCTGGGCGACAGAGAGAGACTCCATCTCAAAAAACAAAAAACCAAACAAAAAAAAGTCCGGACCCTCCACCTGAGCCTGAGGAGGCTGTGAGCCTGCCTCGGCCTTCCTCAGAGATACTGTCCCCCTCCCCTTGGTGACTCTTCTGTCTCCTGCCAGCAAGATGGTTCCACTCTGGGCCTCTGCCCTCCCCGTTCTCCCCTCCTTCCCCTTCATGTCTGCAGACCCCTCAGGCTTGTCCCAAACTACAAACCCTCCCTGAAGCACCCCCACCCGAGGTGGAGAGAGACAGCAGGGCCCTGCAGGAGGGGTGGGCACAGCCCTTACCTGAGCACGTGGCTGACCCAAAGCACGTGGTGCTCCCCGGGGCTCTTCCCGCTGCCAGCCACCGTGGCCACAGACTGCAGCCACACGAAGCCCCCAGTGCGCTGTAGCCAACGGTAGTAACCAGTCATCACCTGACCCTTGTCCAGCACTGGGCCCAGCCCAGGGGTGGGAGAGACGGGAAGGGGTGTGGTGGGGACCGGGGCAAGGCAGAGACAGGTGGATAGGAGGAGACAGGAGAGGCAGAGTGAGAGAAAGCAGCAGGGTAGACAGGGAAACAGCAGGGAGGAGAGAGAAAGGCAAAAGCAGAGAGAGAAAGAGACAGAGTCAGAGACTGAGAGGTAGCCCAGCAGCGAGGCCTCGGGCATTTGAGAGACCCCACAGCTGCCCTGACTCCCCACTGTGGCGTCAGCAGTGGCCTGAGCCACTGCTCAGTCTCCTTGCTGATCTTACAGTGCTACAGGGAGCCCCTGGAGCTGTAAGTGCAGCAGGAGGGACTGTGGGCAGCCCTGAAGAAGGACTTCCAGGGACCAGGGAATAGGGTACTTGGGTCGGGGTGGTGGTAGGCAGGCATGGTGGGTGGAGGCGGGTCTCACAGTCCACATGGCTCTGGCGGATCCTGGTGGCATCCTGTCCGTGGACGAACTGGTAACAGCTGCGGCCCACCAGCTCTGAGGGCCCCAGATCCATGTGGTCGCTGACTCTGGCGGGGTGACAGAGAGGGGAGAAGGAGGGAGTCAAAGACCACAGGGTGGGAGAGAGGTGCAATTGGCTCCAGAGTCACCTGGGGTTCAGACCTTTGCTGTAAAATTGGTACAATAGCAGTGTTGGCAGGTCCGGTGGCCCATGCCTGTAATCCCAGCACTTTGGGAAGCTGAGGTGGGTAGATCACCTGGTCAGGAGTTCAAGACCAGCCTGCCCAAGATGGTGAAACCCCACTGCTACTAAAAATACAAAAATTAGCCAGTTGTGGTGCATGCCTATAATCCCAGCTACTTGGGAGGCTGAGGCAGGAGAATGGTTTGAACCCGAGAGGTGGAGGTTGCAGTGAGCCGAGATCATGTCACTGCACTTCAGCTTATGTGACAGAGCAAGATTCTGTCTCAAAAAAAAGTCTGGGCACAGTGGTTCAGGCCTGTAATCCCAACACTTTAGGAGGCCGGGGCATGTGGTACACCTGAGGTCAGGAGTTCGAGACCAGCCTGCCCAACATGGCAAAACCCCATCTCTACTAAAAATAAAAATTAGCCAGGCATGGTGGTGGGCACCTGTAGTCTCAGGTACTTGGGAGGCTGAGTTGGAAGAATTGCTTCAACCCAGGAGGTGGAGGTTGCAGTGAGCCGAGATGGCACCACTGCACTCCAGCCTGGGCGACAAGAGCAAAACTCTCTAACAAAAACAGAACAAAAAACCAACCATAGAACAGCGTCCCTCCTGGGGTAGCTGTGACATTCACGTAGACGGTAAGTGGCAAGGCCTCAGAGCGTGGCACTATTTCACCACTTAATCCGTCTCCACTGTGGGGTACAGGAGAGTAAATGGATGAGATGAGAGGCCAGAGAGAAATGGGCTGAGACAGGCAAGGCTCTGCAGCCGCTGGAGGAGGCCGGGACCCAAGACATAGCCCCTTCCATTCCCCAAGGGACCCCTGGGCCAGGCCTCTGCCCTGCTCCCCTGCCTTCCCTTCCCTTCTCCTCATCACCCTGCCCCTCCACTGCTCTTCTGCCTTCCATGGCTCCCTGGTGCCCTAGCCTGCAGACCGAGCGCCCCCTCAACTTCCCATGTACCCCAGATCTCCAGTGTCCCCATCCACCAGCCACAGCCCCCAACCCCGGTACCTGCTCTCACAAGCAAGGATGGTGAGACCCAGGCTGAGACGAAAGACGATCATGTGTCCGTGGAGTGGCAGCTCAGCCAGGGGAGCTGGGGGCAACGTGTGCCCGAGGGCCACAAGGCCCAGGGCGTGGGCCCGAAGGCGCCCAGTCACGTGGATGACCTGCTGGTGGTGGGCATGGTTGGAGGAGGGGGCGGGGCAGGACGGTGGGGGCAAGAGGATCATCACCAGGACCACTGGGCAGGGTTCCCTCTGTCACCCACAGTTGCTGGGAAACTGACTGGGCAGTGTATGACCCTCCTTCCAACCCAATTCCCTAAGCCATCTGAGAGAGTGAAGCCACCAGTCTGGTTCCCTCCGTCACCCACAGGTCGGGGACATGGCTGGCTGGAACGCAGGAGCCTGACTGCTCACACCCACCTTGTACCCCGAGGCCTTGACGTGCAGCCCCCTCTTGGTGAGCGTGGATTTCATGCGGACAAAGAAGGAGCGCTCCCGGACCAGGGAGGAGGGGGGCACCTTGGTGAGGCTGGTCTCTGGGACAGAGAGTGAAGGAAGGTTATGGGATCCTGAAGAGGAAACACACAGGCCACCCCAACCCTGCAGAGCCAGCTGGACATAGACACAAGAGGCCCACAGGGCCACGGCCGCATTCAGAGGCATGCCTGATGATTTTAGAAGCTCACGGGGATAGTAATGTGGCAGCCATTGAGTCCTTTTTTTTTTTTTTTTTTAGACTGAATCTCACTCTGTTGCCCAGGCTGGAGTGCAGTGGCATGATCTCGGCTCATTGCAACTTCTACCTCCTGGGTTCAAGTGATTCTTCTGCCTCAGACTCCCCAGTAGTCTGGATTACAGACACACACCACCATGCCTGGCTAATCTTTGTGTTTTCAGTAGAGATGGGGTTTCACCATGTTGGCCAGGTTGGTCTCGAACTCCTGACCTCAGCTTCCCAAAGTGCTGGGATTACAGGTGTGAGCCACTTCGCCCGGCCCCATCTGTTTCTTTCTAATGGTTCAACCTGCTCCACCCTCCCCTGCTCTGAGCCTGCCATAGCTCCCTAAGGCCTTTAGAAGAAAGCTCACCGCTCAAGCTCCATCTTCCAGGTCTCAACACTGACATCTCCAAGAAGCCCTCCCTGACCCCAGGCTGGGCCAGCCATCCCCTCTGGGAGCCCAGGTGGGTGGGGCTGGAGCTGTCACAGGTCACTACCGAGTCACCAGGACAGGGCCTGGCCCATGACAGAGGATTTGGGGAATAGCAACAAAGAAGACTCACAAATCCAAATTCTTCTGTAAACCCCACAAAACAGTCTTAAAAATATGCTCACACACAGATGACCCTGTGCCTCAAAATTCAGGTACAGATGCAGTCCCATTCACTGACAGCCGGCACATGTTGGAACCATCACCCCACGATTGCAAGCACAGCTGATGTCTCAGATGTTTTTGGTGTTAAGCAAACCCAAGATTGGAAAATCCTATTTACAGGATGTTAGCCTCATAGGCCCCCAACATCTCAGAGCTATAAAGAGCCGGCAGGGTAATCTGCAACACCCGCCCTCCCATATGCAGTGGTAGTGGAAATTTCCACTGGAGAGAAGGGTTAGGCGTGCTGACCCCAGAATCCACTGAGTTGGGCTGGAATCCAACTCAGTCACTTACAGCTGTGTGACCTGGGGCAATTAGCTTAACCTCTCTGCACTGTGCCTCCATTTTCTGCTCTGTAAAATGGAGAGGACTGTTCCTGCTTTGTGGGGCTATGCTTAGGATCTAATGCAAAAGAAAAAAAAATTTTTTTTTTTTTGAGACAGAGTCTCACTCTGTTGCCCAGGCTGGAGTGCAAAGGCATGATCTCGGCTCCCTGCAGCCTCTGCCTCCCGGGTTCAAGCAAGTCTCCTGCCTGTTTCCCAAGTAGCTGGGATTACAGGTGCTTACCATCATGCCTGGCTAATTTTTGTATTATTAGTAGAAATGGGGTTAGACCTTGCTGGCCAGGCTGGTCTCGAGCTCCCAACCTCAGGTAGTCCACCCATGTCAGCCTTCCAAAGTTCTGGGATTACAGGCGTTAGCCACTGTGCTGTTTTTTTCTTTTTGGAGACAGAGCCTCACACTGTCGCCTGGGCTGGAGTGCAGTGGTTCGATCTCACTGCTGCCACCTCTGAAGTAGATGGGACCTGTATTCTCCCTTCCACCTTCCACCTCCCAAGTAGCACGTGTCGTCATGCCCAGATTTTTTTTTTTTTTTTTTTGAGACGGAGTTTTGCTCTTGTTGCCCAGGCTGGAGTTCACTGGTGAGATTTTGGCTCACTGCAACCTCCACCTCCCAGGTTCAAGCGATTCTCCTAACTCAGCCTCCCTAGTAGCTGGAACTACAGGCATCTGTCACCATGCCCAGTTAATTTTGTATTTTTAGTAGAGACGGGGTTCCTCCATGTTAGCCAGGATGGTCTCGAACTCCTGACTTCGGGTGATCCACCCACCTCAGCCTCCCAAAGTGCTGGGGTTACAGGTGTGTGCCACCATGCGTGGCCTTTTTTGTACTTTCTTTTTTTGGAGAGACTGGGTTTCACTATGTTGCCCAGGCTGGTCTCCAACTTAAGTGATCTGCCCCCGCTTCGGCATCCCCAAGTGCCAGCAGCGGAGCCAGGCCCTAATGTAATTATAGAATTACGTATTTAAAGGCACAGCCCCGTGTAGATGCCCAATAAGCCTGCCTTGTAATTAATTTACCTAAGCGTCTCCCAGCTGCTTTCAGCAGCCGGGGGTGGGGGTTAGGGGGCGGTCTTTCTGTAGCTCAAATTTTGGGGAGCTTGGTAATTTTAAGGAGCCAAGTCTCACCGCCTCAATTTAGGCTCCGATTCCTTTTGCAGAGATTCGTTCTACCCAGCTCTAACTTCAGTGCTTTTTGTATAAACGAGGCATGGCTGGAAACAACACGGGGCGTCTCCCGACCTACCCTCAGACTACATTCTTTGGGGGCCCTTAGAATTACCGATCTCCGGGGTATCCGCAAGCGAAGAGGAAGAGGAGGAGGAGGAAGAGGAGGAGACGGAGGGCGGGGTTGGGGGGCCGGGGGTCGGGGCCCGCAGTCCCAGTTGCTCCAGCACCTCCGAGTGGTCCCCTGGGTGGATGTAGTCGAAGACGCTGCTGCCCGTCATCTCCACCTGCCGGCGAAGGAGGGGAATACAGGGGCGGGTGGGGTGCGCGCGCAGTCACTCGCCCGCCCGTTAGGTTCAGCCTTATTTGCCTGCACGCAGGTGCGCCTCGTGCCAGCGTGTTTTATTTTTAAGAAAAAAAAAAAAAAAAAAAAAATTACCTTTCAAACGGAAGATATAAACTTAGACTCTTCTCGCTTCATGCCCAGTGATTAGTAAGGATTTTTCCCCCGCCCACTCTATTAAGGGGCTGTGTGAGGGAGTGGGGCGTGGGTGGGAGATGTCAGAGCCTCCGTTTACCCAACTCCTGCTTACTCACTGCCACCCCCATACAGCAAACAACTGTGCCCTAGCATGAATCACAGGGTGTCCCAGCAGGAATGAGATTCGGGATACAAACAGTGGTTTTTAAGCTCTTTAAGGAGTTAAGAGCTTTTCAATCACACTTTTACATTCAATTCTACCTCCTAAATCTCTCTTCCAGCAGTCCTCTTCTCTCTGCCTCCCTCAGTCCAGGTCCCCATTTTCTCCCCACTGTCTGCCCCAGCGTCCTCACTGGTTTTCTCACCTGCAGTTCACTCAAAGATGCCCCCACAAGTTACTGACCTGACCGCCATTGCTGCCGTAACTCCCACTGCCCCTCAGTTTGGGGGTGTGTGTCACTTTTGATTCTCTCTGTCCATTATCCCACTGGGCTCCTCCCCCTCATTAAATCCGCCTCAACCCAGCTTCAAGCCTTTTCTTCTTTTTTGAGAAGGAGTTTCGCTCTCCTTGCCCAGGCTGGGGTGCAATGGCACAATCTTGGCTCACTGCAACCTCCGCCTCCCGGGTTCAAGCAATTCCCCTGCCTCTGCCTCCAGAGTAGCTGGGACTACAGGCATCTGCCACCACACCCAGCTAATTTTGTATTTTTAGTAGAGACTGGGTTTCACCATGTTGGCCAGGCTGATCTTGAACTCCTGACCTCAGGTGATCCGCCCACCTCGGCCTCTGAAAGTGCTGGGATTACAGGTGCCAGTCACCATGCCCAGCCAAGCCTTTCCTCCACTCTTCCTCCCTCCCCTCCTCTTGTCCAAATTCCCCTCCTTTTGGTGTCTTCTCCAGGAATCTCTGAAAAGCTGCCACAAGTTGCCAATGCACTGAATTCCCCAAATTTCCTATTTGCCAAAAATATTTGTAAAAGGAATCAAAGTTGATAGCAGTTCGTATTGGAGGGACCGGCAAAGCTTAAGGTGCCTTGAGATGCCAGGGCTCCAATGATGGGGCTTTCAGTAGGTCTTCCTGCCCTCCTTTTTTTCTTTTTTGAGACGGAGTTTCACTCTTGTTGTCCAGGTGCAGTATCAACTCACCGCAACCTCCGCCTCCCAGGTTTAAGTGATTCTCCTGCCTCAGCCTCCCGAGTAGCTGGGATTATAGGCACCTGGCACCACGCCCAGCTAATTTAGTATTTTTTTTTTTAGTAGCGGTGTGGGGGGGCGGGTTTCTCCATATTGGTCAGGCTGGTCTTGAACTCCCGACCTCAGGTGATCTGCCCACCTCAGCCTCCCAAAGGCTGACTGCTACAGGTGTGAGCCTCCGAGCCTGGCCATCTGCCCCTCTTTTAGTTACTCATCAGCCTCCACCTGCAGGAGCTGAGGTGAAGACAGAAGCGCAAGCCGGCAAACCTCAATCCCTCCCAATATGAATTGCTCTAAACCAGTTTTTGAGGCAGAGTCTTACTTTGTCATCCAGGCTGGAGCGCAGTGACTCCATCACAGCTCACTGCAGCCTTGACCCCATGGGCTCAAGGTCCTCCCACCTCAGCCTCCTGAGTAGCTGGGACAACAGTGTGCCAACATGCCAGGCTAATTTTTAAGTTTTTTTGTAGAGATGGGGTTGGGGGTGGAGGGATGTCTCACTGTTGCCCAGGCCGGTTTTGAATTCCTGGCTTCAAGTGATCCTCCTGCCTCAGCCTCCCAAAGTGTTGGGGTTACAGGCATGAGCCAGTGTGCCCAGCCTCTAAACCTTCAAAATTGTTGAGAAGAAGAAGAAAAAAATAAAATTAAGAGGAAACAAGTGTTGGTAAATATGGTGCACCTGGCCTGCCAGTCATTGGCAAACTGATCTTTCAGCGAACCTGCTTTCCTCAGATCCACTGTGACTTTTTTTTTCTTTTTTGAGATGGAGTCTGGTTCTGTTGCCCAGGCTGGAGTGCAGTGGCGCGATCTCGGCTCACCACAACCTCCGCCTCCTGGGTTCCAGCAATTCTCCTGCCTCAGCTTCCTGAGTAGCTGGGATTACAGGCATGCACCACCATGCTCAGCTAATTTTCGTATTTTTAGTAGAGACGGGCTTTCATCATGTTGGCCAGGATGGTCTCAAACTCCTGATTTCATGATCCACCCACCTCGCCCTCCCAGAGTGCTGGGATTACAGGCGTAGCCACCGCGCCCGGCCCCACCTGTTACTTTAATAGCCCTCCTCTGCCTACGAGGATGAACCATACTGGGTGCCATGTGGGGTGCCAGGATCACACTTTGGGGGACCACAGAGCTTCGGTCCATTCTGCTTGCTGTGGTGGTGAGGCCAGGAGACAGGAAGGGCATGCATGGGCCGGGCAAGGGAGAGCCTGGCTGAGCCAGTCCAGGAGGTCCACTGGGGTCCCCTTACCTGTGAGAGACCCAGATAGATGGAGACTGTCTCTGAGATGTAGAGGAATTTTCCTTCCTGGTTCAAGGCGAACACAAAGCCATCCAGCGACTAGAGCCGGGAGAGACAGGGAGGGGGAAGGGGAGGACCTGGTGCCCTCCGTCCAGCGGCTAAGTGGTAAGAGAGGTTCTGAAGCCTGGGGCTCCACCTGAAGCGGATTGTTCTGGTGGGGACGGGACTTCAGTGGCTCTTGGAAGGGGCAGGGAGGAGTGGGATTTTGATCATTCGGTTTCCCAGTCCAGGCACCGCCCCCCAACAATGGATGGATGCTGAAGAGGCTGCTGGTCACCAGAGGCGGCCGTTAGGTGGCAGCAAGGAGCAGCAGGCGGGGATGGGGCCTCACTCACCTGTAAGATGTGTCCTCCCAGGTGCTGCTCGAAGACTTCGGACACTAGCGCTGCGGGGCCGCGGCGGCCTGGGGCTGGGGCAGAGGGAGAGATGAAGCCAGGGTTGGTCTGGCTGACCCTGCGCAGGGCAGGGCCCCCGGGAGCCAGTCTACAAGCCTCCCTCTCTTCCCCCAAGGCTTGTAGACAAGTTGGGGTATCGGGTCGCCTGTGGAGGAGAGACCTGGGCTGTGGGACACACAGGTGGGTGGGACAGTGAGTGGCAGACTCTGACTCATAGAGACAGAGTAGGGGGCAGGGGGTCCTAGAGGGATTCATTCATTCACCCACCCGTTCACTCACCACCTACTGCCCCGGCGTCTTGCACTGGGCACTGCTGGGGGTGCAGCGATGACCAGACAGTCCAGCACCCCTCTTCCCCACTGGGCTCTCACACCAGGGGCAACTGAACAGCAAGCAAGAAACTAACATTCTCTGCTTAGGGAGCCCATAAAAATAAACAAATACAGCTGGGCGCGGTGGCTCACGCCTGTAATCCCAGAACTTCTGGAGGCCAAGGTGGGCAGATCACCAGAGGTCAAGAGTTCAAGACCAGCCTGGCCAACATGATGAAACCCAATCTCTACAAAAATTAGTTGGGCATGATGGCAGGTGCCTGTAATCCCAGCTACTCAGGAGGCTAAGGCCGGATAAATTGCTTGAACCCAGGAGGTGGAAGTTGCAGTGAGCCGAGATTGCGCCATTGCACTCCAGCCTGGGCGACAGAGCAAGGCTCTGTCTCAAAAAAATAAAAATAAAATAAAAATGCATTTCAAATAAAATAATAAAAATACCAAAAATATAAAGAGACGCAGAGACACAGGAAAAGAGTTGCCGAGAGAGATGGAGATGGGGACTGAGACGGAGGCGATGTGAGACTCCTGGAGGGAGCTGCAGACCCAGTGCTGGGGGTGGGGGGCCAGGGGACACACTCGGTGACCTTGAGGATACCCAGGGGCCTGCTTCCTATGGGGCTGAGGGAACAGGTCTCCTGTCAAGCACCAGCGCTGCCCCTCCCTGGCTGTGCGCCCTGGAACCAGCCTCTCTGCCTCACTGTGCCTCAGTTTCCTACTCTATCAACCAGGTTTGCCAGGAGTGGTGACTTCCCAAGCTGGCTACGCATTCAGTTCACTTAACAGACAGAAAGGGCCGGCTGGGGCCTGGCAGAAGCAGATGCCTCGGCACAGAGCCGGGATTGGCATTAATAGTGTGATTACGATTGTTATTACCCCACCATCAAAACACCAGGCAGCGAAACCCCGCCCCTCCCCCACGGGCGTGCAGCCCCCGCGTCCCCAACCCCTGAGTGTCTGCGCTGAGCTTCCTCCTCCCGGGAGTACCCCACACCCTCCTGGTTTTTCCTCCCTGCCTCCACCTCCGCCTGGAGCTCCAGGAACAATTACTGGGGGGCTGGGGGGGTGATGGGGACCCCCTCCCTCAAGATAGAGCTCGGAACCAGCCGGGTGACAGGCAGGAACAATGCTGCCTGCTAATTGTCGCAATTTTCCCCTGTCATTTTTGCTAATTCCTTCATTTTCCCTCTCCCAGGATCAGCCTGGGTCAGACTGAACCGCTGCAATTAACAACATTAATGGGCACGTCGGGATTGGGGGGTGCGCTGGTGGGGGCTTGGGGACCTGCTGTTCTCCATCCCGGGGCCGGGTCCCCTGTGACGGGGACCCCCAGATCTCCTCATCCCTGACTGGTGTGTCTTTTTACCCTCAGCCTCCACCTCCCCATCCTACCAAGGTCCCGATGGCTCCCACTGTTCCCTCCTCTCCCTCTCTCCTCAAAATGTCCCCATTCATCTGTCCCCCAAATTCAGTAGCAGGCTTTTCACTCTTTCCACATCTGCCCCTCCCCATGTCCAAAACCCAAACATCACTCATCCATTTAACAAACACTTGCTGTGGGTCTTATCAGAGCCTGTTCAGTGTCCTCAACGCCTGCACAGAAAGGGAACACAGAGGGGCAGAGAGAGGAGGGAGGCCAGGGGCAGAGAGAGGAGGGAGGCCAGGGGCAGAGAGAGATGGGAGGCCAGGGGCAGAGAGAGGAGGGAGGCCAGGGGCAGAGAGAGGAGGGAGGCCAGGGGCAGAGAGAGATGGGAGGCCAGGGGCAGAGAGAGATGGGAGGCCAGGGGCAGAGAGAGGAGGGAGGCCAGGGGCAGAGAGAGCAGGGAGGCCAGGGGCAGAGAGAGGAGGGAGGCCAGGGGCAGAGAGAGATGGGAGGCCAGGGGCAGAGAGAGATGGGAGGCCAGGGGCAGAGAGAGGAGGGAGGCCAGGGGCAGAGAGAAGAGGGAGGCCAGGGGCAGAGAGAGGAGGGAGGCCAGGGGCAGAGAGAGGAGGGAGGCCAGGGGCAGAGAGAGGTGGGAGGCCAGGGGCAGAGAGAGGTGGGAGGCCAGGGGCAGAGAGAGGAGGGAGGCCAGGGGCAGAGAGAGGAGGGAGGCCAGGGGCAGAGAGAGGAGGGAGGCCAGGGGCAGAGAGAGATGGGAGGCCAGGGGCAGAGAGAGATGGGAGGCCAGGGGCAGAGAGAGGAGGGAGGCCAGGGGCAGAGAGAGATGGGAGGCCAGGGGCAGAGAGAGGAGGGAGGGCCAGGGGCAGAGAGAGGAGGGAGGCCAGGGGCAGAGAGAGATGGGAGGCCGGGGCAGAGAGAGGAGGGAGGCCAGGGGCAGAGAGAGATGGGAGGCCAGGGGCAGAGAGAGGAGGGAGGCCAGGGGCAGAGAGAGGAGGGAGGCCAGGGCAGAGAGAAGAGGGAGGCCAGGGCAGAGAGAGGGGGACTCAGGGACAGAGAGAGGGGGACTCGGGTAGAGAGAGGAGGGAGACTGAGGGTCAGAGAGAGAGGGGGATTCCGGGACAGAGAGAGGGGCATCTGGGGGCAGAGGGAGGAACCTGGTGGGAGAAAGAGGAGGGACTATGTGGCAGGCATGGGGAGACCAAGGGGCAGAGAGGAGGGGAAGACCTGGGGGATGACAGACAGGGGACCCCGGGCAGAGAGGTGGAAACTGGGGGCAGAGGGCAGAAGCCAAGGCCTCTTCCAAGTCAGGTCTCTGCTGTCACCTACCCCTCTCAACTGCCCTGAAGGGCTGTGCTGACCCTGAGTCCTGGAAAGGAGAGGCTGGGGCTTCATCACTTGGGAAGTCTGGGAAAGGGGCCCCTCACACGCCCCATCGTCAAAGTGCTGCAGGCCTGAGGGCTTCGTGGGGTGGGCAGCATGGGGTGGGGCAGTGCCAGGTCACCTCTGCCTTAACTTTCCTCAGCCTCATCTGTAAAATGGGTATGCAGTGATAGAGCTGAATGGGCTAGTGCATACAGTAGGTGCCTAACACTGGCAGCCATGCCACCATTCTTTTTTTGTTTTTTTGAGACCCAGTTTTGCTCTTGTTACCCAGGCTGGAGTGCAATGGTGTGATCTCCGCTCACTGCAACCTCCGCCTCCTGGGTTCAAGAGATTCTCCTACCTCAGCCTCCCGAGTACCTGGGACTATAGGCGTGAGCCACCACGCCTGGCTAATTTTCTATTTTTAGTAGAGATGGGGGTTTCACCATGTTGGCCAGGCTGGTCTTGATCTCTTGACCTCATTATCCGCCTGCCTCAGCCTCCAAAGTGCTGGGATTACAGGGGTGAGCCACTGCACCTGCCTTTTTTTTTTTTTAAGATGGAGTCTCGGCTGGGCGCGGTGGCTCATGCCTGTAATCCCAGCACTTTGGGAGGCCGAGGCGGGTGGATCACGAGGTCAAGAGATCGAGACCATCATGGCCAACATGCTGAAACCCCATCTCTACTAAAATACAAAATTAGCTGGGCATGGTGGCGCGTACCTGCAATCCCAGCTACTCAGGGGGCTGAGGCAGGAGAACTGCTTGAACCCAGGAGGCAAATTGCAGTGAGCCGAGATCGCGCCATTGCACTCCAGCCTGGCGCCTGGCAACAGAGCGAGTCTCTCTCGAAAAAAAAAAAAAAGATGGAGTCTCACTCTGACACCCAGACTGGAGTGCGGTGGGGCAATCTCAGCTCACTGCAACCTCTGCCTCCCGGGTTCAAGTGATTCTCCTGCCTCAGTCTCCCGAGTAGCTGGGATTGCAGGCATGCGCCACCAAGCCTGGCTAATTTTTGTATTTTTAGTTGAGACAGGGTTTCACCATATTGGCCAGGCTGGTCTCAAACTCCTGACCTCAGGTGATCCACCCACCTTGGCCTCCCAAAGTGCTGAGATTACAGGCATGAGCCACCGCGCCTGGCTGCACTATTTTTTCAGCATGACTGCAGGTAACATGGGGGTCCCTCTGCCTTATCGGGTGGTTCCTTGGAGGCCGCCCTCTGTGTCTCTCACACCCACATACATTGTAAGCACGTCCCAGGGGTTGACCTGACCATATCATCTGCGTCCCACCACCCATGGGCCCAGCTCAGTGTAGCTGTCCTGCCTGCACTGCCACCGTCTCATCCTAACCGAGCTCCACCCTCATCACCTCTGCAGCTCCCCTCTCACTGCAGGTAACAGCCAAACCCCTACCATGTCGCAAGACGCTGTGTACAGCCTGTGTGACCTGCACCCAGCGAGCTCACCCCCGCCTGCCTCAGGGCATTCGCACCTACTGTTCCCTCTCCTGAGCCACTCTCTTCCAGCTTTTCTCACAGCTGCTCCCATACCTCCTTGGAGTCTCATCTCAAAGGTTACTTCCTTGACCGAGCGCAGTGTAATCCCAGCACTTTGGGAGGCTAAGATGGGGGTGGGGGGGATCACCTGAGGTCAGGAGTTCAAGACAAGCCTGGCCAACCTGGTGAAATGCTGTCTCTATTAAAAATACAAAAGTAGCCGGACGCGGTGGCTCAAGCCTGTAATCCCAGCACTTTGGGAGGCCGAGGCGGCTGGATCACGAGGTCAAGAGATCGAGACCATCCTGGTCAACATGGTGAAACCCCATCTCTACTAAAAATACAAAAAATTAGCTGGGCATGGGGGCGCGTGCCTGTAATCCCAGCTACTCAGGAGGCTGAGGCAGGAGAATTGCCTGAACCCAGGAGGCGGAGGTTGCGG